CAGTTTCCCCCCCCCCCAAACCCCCCCCCCCCCCCCGAACCACCTGAAATGCGGGATTTGCAGAAGTTTCTCCCTGGCAAATCTAATTGGTTAGGCTGATACTAAAATAGGCAGTGGTCCTGAAGATACCTGGAGTCCGCTAACATGCAGAGTCTGCTAAACTGGTGTAATATGTTCCCAGTGCTGGGAGCATGAAAGGATATGGGCTGCTGTATTTTTGACCAACTGTAGTTTCTGAATACTCTATAAAGGGAGCCCCAAGTAGAGTGCATTACAATAATCTAACTGGGTGGTGATAAGGACATGAGTTACTGTAGCCAGATTCTTCTGTTCCAGTAAGACTGCACCTGGTGCATCAGTTAAAGCTGGGCACCGGCCCCTCTGGCCACGGCTTCTACTTGCTGATCCAGCAGGACCCATGAGTCCAGAAGAACCCTCAAGTCATGAATGTGCTCCCTGATGCATAGTGCCTGCTCATCAAGGAATATCTCTGGCAGTGTCAGAGGACCATGATGCATCAACAGCCACTCCAACTTGCCAGGATTTCAACTTCAGTCTGTTCTCTCCCACCCAGACCCTGACAGCCTACAGGCACTGGGAATGGGTAGTGGTGGGGCCTGGGTGGTGATGTAGAATTGGATATCAGTGTATTGATGATATAAAGTATTTGAAGACTACAATGAAGGGTGGGAAGCAGAAACATTATCCTTAATGTAGTGGGTTTTTTTAACTGAGAAAAGTGGTTTAAGTGCATACACTAAAGCATAATATTTGGACTTGAATTGATGGCACAACATCATTCTGGACTGACGAATCATGTTTAGGTTACAAAATAAATTGTAGCCAAATACAAATGTACAATGAGAGCTCATTTTTATATCAAATTAAAGAATTATCATTATCAATGAGTATAAGCACAAATAAAGGCATTCCTAAAAACAGCTTTATTTAGCCAAAGGGACATTTCAATTTACTTCTTACTAAGAGGTCTTTTTTTTCCCCATTTACTCCCAAAGTAGCCTGGTTGCCACCACGGTTTAGCTTTGATAGTTTTGGTCTTCCCCAAAGTTAACCCAGAGGGAAGGAATTTGAGCAACCGAGTGCCACTAGGTTAATGCAGTTTTCTAGAATAATGGCCCCCATTGTCAACCCTAGCAGTGCAATCCACATAGTAGCAAAACAGCCTGCTGCTACCAGTGGGGGGTGGTGTTATGGCCATTAACTTTGAGAAGCTTATACTGTATAAAAGTGAGAAACATAAAGGGCTCAAATCAGGATACCACTGACAAGCCTTTTACTAAAAAAACACAAAAAACATGGCCCAGTATTTACTGTTCATTCCCCTTCTGAATAGTGCTTGTATCATGTCTATTTGCAGTGATTCATACTGAACACAATAACCAAGGAGACGAATCCCATCATGATTTTTTCTCAGAGATTCCAAGTAGAATATACTATTCCTCGAGACCTATTTCCAGAAAGAGAGAGAAGTTTGTGATTATTCCAGCGCCTAATATTATTACTCTCATTAGGTTTTCAAAGACAAAAATGTGATTGGAGAGGACAGCTCTGTTTTACGCCAGAACACATCTTCTTCAGCTAGTGGGCAGTGCCACAAATCCTTGTGATGTGGGGAACATAGGTCTCCTTACATTCTGCTGTAAACCTTGATGCTCAGATTTAGTGCAGTTTAATTCAGTTTTTATAACATCCCTGTCATAAGATGTAAAAAGCTTAAAAGGGAATGGTATCTTTCCTTGCTTTCAGGTTTTGGGGGAAACCATTGCTGAAAGCAAATGATGGATGCTCAGATTCTGCATGACCACTTGCTATGTGCTTCACTGCAGTGTGAGATGATGCAAGCAATAGGCTTTTGCTTATGATTCCACTACTTCCTTCAAACTCAGATGGGTTCCAGTTTCCTTCGGTTATTGTCAACAAAAAGCTTTTCCTGCACTTGCTAGGGAACTCCCAACAGTAGTAAAAGCTCTTTTCAGAAGTTCTATTTTGTGTGCTGATTCTAGCACCAGAGCACAAATATGAGTTGAATAATCCAAAATTTCTACAGATCTGAAACTGGAATCAAATCCAGTTCAAAGGCAATCATTGGGGTCCTCAAAAAGGGCAAAGGAGCAGATGATGAAACCTGCATCATTTCTGCCCCTTATGTACTTGTGTGAGAAGTTGTGACATCTCTGCCTATTCAGGTAGTCCTCATTTACTGATTGCCTCATTCAGCAACCATTTAAAATTGCAATGGCGCTGAAAAAGTAGGCTTACGACCGGTCCACAAACTTGCAGCAGTCACGGTTTCTCCGTGGTTATGTGATCACAATTTGGGCACTTCGCAACCAGCACACATTTATGATAGTCCCAATGTCCCACAGTCACATGATCACCATTTGCAACCTTCACAGCCAGCTTCAGATGAGCAAAATCTATGGGGAAGCTGGCAGGAAGTTGCAAGTCACGGTCACGTGATGTCATGCTTAACAACCCAGGGTGATTCGTTTAACGACTGCAGCAGAACTGACTTTATAAGTCTGATGTGGTCATGTGATGTTTCATTTAATGACCATGTCACTTAGTGATGGAGTTGCTGGTCCCAGTTGTGGTCTCTAAGTGAAGACTACCTGTAAAAGGGCAGAGGTTGCACTGTGATCTCATGATGCATGTTTTGGGTTTTTGGCATCATGATGGTTATGAAGAAATGCTTAAGGAGGCAATATTCACAGCCAAGTCTACGTAGCATTTAATTCACAAAGCTATAGTTTAGGCTGTTAGGCCCAAAAAACTACTACGATTGTATTCCAAGAACCCTTATATATGGTGAATTATTCAGAAGGTGAATTATTAAGGTGTTAATTCACTCTTGTGATGTTTTCCAAACACAATATCCTAATTGCTAGAGTCTCTTACCTGCTTCCAATCTGTATAAAGTCTTTATAAAGAGAACGGAGACAGAAACATTCAGATCCACCATCGCATGCCTGTTTGCTCAGTTTCATAATCAACTAAGATAAAGGCTCTCTAATTCCTACTCATCTGCTGGCACACTAAATATGGTACTTGACACTGCAGCTTAAAATGCATCTCATGGAAGAGTACCAAAGTAAAATTGTAAGCACAGAAGTGAGATGACAATCATCTTATTCCTTGCATAACTATGGGGTTCTCTTCTATCAGTGATACAGCCATCCTTGCACTCTAGATCTTGCATCAATTGCACAATTAAGATCAAGGACCTTCCCAAATATATCTGACAGTGTGTACATATGTCTACATGGAGGGAGGTGTGCAGTGTGGCACCTCACTGTCCCAGTCCCAGTGCTCTTCAACATTTTTATAAAAGACTTAGATGAGGAGATGAAAGAGATGCTCATCAAATTTGCAAATGGTACAAAGCTGGGAGGGGGGATTGCTAACACTTCAAAAGACAAGCTCAAGGTCAAAAGGATCTTGATAGACTTGAACACTGGAGCCTATCCAACAAAATGCTGTTCAATAGAAAGAAAAGAATGTACGGTTCTGCACTTAGGTAGAAAAAAACAGATGCAGAGGTGCAAGATAGGTGGGGCCTGGAACTTCATGCCAAATGCTAATGCATTTTGGCATTCTTTTAAAATATATCCTTTTAGGTCAGCCTTCTCCAGCTATCAATTCTTCCTAATATTTGCCTTCTGATGGATTGTATTGGGAAGGGGTGTCCAGTTTAATCCTGTTTTTATTGCACGCACTTATAATGATTGTTAACAACTTTGGGATTAAATAAAAGAAAAACAGAAATTCCTCCTTTGCCATCAGTGTATTAGGTTGTAGGTGATAACACTATACTTTGTGATACATCCCGGGGAATGCATTGTGATACAATGGAACAAGGGAAAAAAGATAATCAACTTTTTAAGTACACCTTCTTCAGTGTTTGTCCTTCCTGGAAATCTGCACACAAACGCAAAACGAGTTGTGTCACTACATTTTGTTAGTTTTTCTAACTGAACTCAGTCCAGTTAGTTAGTTTATTGTGCGGTGTTTTGTGGAAAGCCAGACAATAAATTCTATAATGAGGTGAAGTGTATGATATGGATGTGACCACTATGTAGTATGGGTATAATGTTATCCATTTTATAAAGCCATTGTAAGACCTGCAAGTACTGAAGAGCTTAAGATACCTGAAAGTGCATAAATGATATACTAACCTGTTTTTACAGATAATTAATTATTAAAATAAATTCTGAGCCACATGCATTTGTTGGGCAAGAGAAGCTAATTAATATATTCTTAAATTGGCTTTTGTGTTGGATGAGGACCAGGGAGAGCCAGGTTCAACTCCTGGCTCAGTCATGGAAGGTCACTGGGGTTCATCATTTACTCTCAGTTTTACCTTAACTTTTCCAGAAATGCATACTTTAGT